CTTCCAGCCTGCTCTATATATCTCAGACTTTCCATCCTCTGACATCACACGAGCCAATTCCTTAAAATAAATCTTTCTATATCTAATCTCCATACAACCGTTGTCTTAATACTCGGTTTTACTTTCTCTAGTTTCAGTTATCTGCACTCAACAGCAGTCCCAGAGTATTCAGTCAAAAACTTCATAGTTTGAGGGGAGACCATATTCGTATAAATCTTATTGTAGTTAGATTGCTTTTATTATATTGTTATAATTTTTCTTTTTAACAATTATTGCTAATTTCCTATTGTGCCTAAGTTATAAATCAAACTATCATAGGTATGTGTGAGGAAAAGATACAGTATGCAGAGTTTACAGCACCCTGGTTTTGGGTGTCCACTGTGGATCCTGGAACACATCCTGCGCAGATACTAGGGGATGGGGGCTACAGAGCCCAGCTACAGAGGGCGGCTACAGAGGGCTCCAGGGAGGTTGGCCTGAGAGAGAGAGAAAAATTGGAGCTGATAAACTAATTGTGAGTCCGACTATAACCTAAAAATGTTTTACATTTTTGGCAGAGAGATTGCAGATAAGTTAATGATAGGTATTTAAAAACAAAACTGTGCAAGGAAAAAAAAAAACCCTGAGGCAACCGTTAACTCCAGGGAAAACATAAAGTGGTACAAGAAGAGAGTTTGGCTGTAGTTGTAAATTCTGCAGATTAATTTAAGAGGAATGGCAGGGGTGGAAGAAGTTGTGTGGAACTTGCCGTGTGATTTATCTATCTATCTATCTATCTATTTATTTATGCTGGGGGTGTACCGGGAATCGAACTCAGGTCCCTGAGCTTGTGAGGCAGGTGTTGGAACCATGGAGCTAAATCCCTGGCCCCTTGTGGTCTGACTTGAATTCTCATCTTCATTGAGGAAATTTAAAAAGACCTAAAATGAAAATTTAAGAAATAGCAATGTATTTTGGAAACAAAGAGGGAAGGAGCAAAAGAAACAACTAAAAGCATTGAAAGCAGCTGCTTTTCTGCTGAGTGAATCCGGTGGGAGTGAGTGGGTCAGGGAACTGTTTATCATTGTAAATCCAGCAGATCACTTGATCTTTTCCATGTCTGTACATGTTTTACTGTGATCAAAATAAAAGCTAAGTAAAGAGATTTTCTGGACCCAACACGGGAAAATGGGGAGGAACAGAAAAAAGAAGAAACTAATCTAATAGCTCCTTGTGATTTCTGTACTAAGAGAAAACCACTGTGCACATTCTAGACGGATGAATTCATGAGATTAAAGTGTCAGAGGTTGAGGATTTACAACATGGTGATTTAGATATGAATGAACAAGAAACGAACAGTATAGTGGTCTAATTATATCATTATGGCATAATCCTCTGCATTTAATGTGTATGAAGCAGTAGTCTGGAGGGTTCTGGGGGTGTAGTTAAGTGGCAGGGAGCAAGTTTAGAGTGCGTGAGGCTCTGGGTTCAGTCCCCATTTGGTTACCCACCAAACGTTACTCCGTAGCTATGTGAGCAGGGCTGGGACTAAGGTGGGGCTGGTGAGTGTTCCAGGACCGGCAGCGTAAGGTCTCGAGGTTGTACGTACGTGGAGACACTGGAGCGTGCACGTCTCCTTCAGTGCTATACTCTGGGTCTCACAGTGTCACTCTGGTCCGGACCTTGGACTTTCGGGTTCCTCCTTATTTTGCTCTTACACGTACGTATGTGTATGTGTGCCTGCCTTGCTACTCCAACTATGGTTCTTGTTCCACTGGGGTTAGTATCACTTGGGGGCTTGTTTGGACTGAAGATGGAGATCGTGCCCAGGGCCTTGTGTATGATGGGCAAGTGCTTTGTCACTGAGCCATCCCCCAGCCCTAGACTCTGCGTCTTAGCCAAACCCCAGGGGCTTGGTGCGCCCGTTGAAGTCTGCCAGGTTCTGGGCTGGCACACACCAAGCCCGGTTCCAGTCCTCCTTACGGAGCACTCAGAGTCCATTGATGCCATTGCCTGGAACAAGTAGGGCACACACTGCCAGGGAAGAAGGTACCTGCCCTAAGGAGGGCAGAGAAAATAGAGAAGAGAAATATACAGAATTGCCTCTGGTCAGTGTTCTCATGGACCAGAAGTCAATCAGTGAGTCCTGCCATCTATCAGTTCTTCCAATAGATCAACTGGATGAAAAAACAACCACGCAGTCATGTGTACTATCATGGCAGACAACATTGGCTGGATTACCCAACATTCATTCCCAGCCCTTTCTTCCTGTTTGGCCGCGTTATAGTGCATAACAGAGTACTTGCTTTCCCAGGAAGCGTGGCCACGTGACACAATTCTGGCCAATGACATTCTAAAAGCCTTCTAGACTCCGCCCCCCTTCCTAGTATGGGGATTGAGCTGTATGCCTTCGCCTTGCGTGACATCCTCAGCCCATTTTTTATTTTGAGTCAGGTTCTCATTAAGTTGCCTAGACTGGGCTCAAATTTGTGGTCCTGCCTCAGACTCCTTGGTAGCTGAGATTACAGGTGCGCACTGCCACACTGGGCTGCAGAGCTAGGTTTTGCAGCTGATGGGGCTGATGCCACTGACTGTGGATGCTGAATACTGTGACCTAAGCCAGGGCCACACCAAACTCTAGAAACCCCCGTGAAGCGGCTACCATCCTCACCGAGATGGGCACACTGTTGTTTTTCAAGAGTGAGGCGAACAGGTAAGCATGACATTCCCCGGGGTACAGATTTAAGAGTTGGGCAAACAAACTCAGTAATCAAGATAAATAATATTTCTTTTTTTGTTACCGGGGATCAAACTCAGGACCTTGTGGATAAACAAGATTTCAATGCAATAGATTTTTTATGGTACTGGGGATTGAATGCAGGTCCTTCACACTAAGCTACATCCATAGCCCTTTCCCTAATTTTTTTAATAGACAGGGTTTCACTAAGTCGCTAAGTTCCTAAGGCTGGGCTTGAACATGTAATCCTCCTTCCTCAGACTTCTTAATTGCTGGGAGTACAGGTGTACGCTATGATGCCTTGCTGGCGGCCCAGATGTTGAAGCTAATGGAGCCAACGTGCTTGGCTCAGTGTAGTATTTTAAAATCAAAATTAATGCAAAAAGCTTTAATGCACAAAATATCAAAATTTAAAATAAACTAAAAGCCGGGCGTGGTGGCGCACGCCTGTAATCCCAGCACCCAGGAGGCTGAGGCAGGAGGATTGCAGTGAGTTTGAGACCAGCCTGGGCTACATAGTGAGTTCCAGGTCAGTCTCAACTACATAGTGAGACTGTCTCAAAAACAAACAAACAAACAAACAAAACAAAAAATAAATAAATAATAGATAAATAAACCAAGATTTGACAGTACAAGACTTAATGCAGATGGAATCATCCTTCCTAGGAGAGAATATACTTGGATTTCTCAGTTTTGAAAGTGAGAAATGTATGAAAAGGCTTCTGGGGCTTGGGTGGCCCAAATGAATGACAAATATCCAGAATTCTTACTGGAGTCTTAGTAAAATGTCATTTTTTGAGTTCATGCAGGGACAGAGACATATCCTGGGCTATTTTGAGAAAAACTTTAATGTTTAGTAGAGTTGGGCAGATAAACTGACACAGGTGAACAGCGAACAGAGAGTGATTTCCTCCTCTGACACAAGCAAGTTCCTAGGGGAAGACAGGCCTGGAAGTGGGCTCCGGAGGAAGAAAAGGGACAAGGAAAGGAGAAGAGCTTCGGATCTGCAGTCAGGAAATCGGACTCCCTGCGTGGCTGCTGGGCTCACTACCTTTGAATACTCAAGCAGCTCCTTTGGCTTCTGAGTCAGGTTATTGGTGAGGCCTCATCCTGTGTGAGCCCGGAAGAGTCGTGATCATCACCTGGGATTGAATGAGTGAGAGCTGTCTGTGCGTTACAAAGCGCTGCTCTAACATCTTGGGCTGTGACTAAGTGGCTAAGGATGGGCCAGGCCTGGAAAGTAGGCTTTGCGGGGAGCGGCCTCTGGGCGGAGAGAATGAAGGGAAAGCGGTCTGTGAGGCTGGACAAGGGGAAACCCGGCCTGCGTTTCTCAGACCAGGAAGGAAGCCAAGCCTGGGCTCCCGGCCCTTGAAGGAGAAAACCAAGTGGATGGCCTCACCTCAGCCCTAGAGAGCGTGGGCCCCCAAAACACGGATCACAAGGGCGGGGAGGGACGCCCGGAGCACACCTCCTCAGGTCCCTGGATGGCCCCTGTGGAGGCCGGAAGGCTGGTGACCTCGGGACCTCTTTACCCCTGAAGGTGGCACAGCCTAAGCATCGCAAAGCAGATTGTGCACATCGGGACACTCTCCTGACACCTACTGCCTGAGGCTTTGAGCCCCAACTGATTCCAGGTTAAACAAGTTAATCCTAATTTTACGGAAGGGCCGGTGGGGCCGAAGGGTCTGGTAGACGGAAGCCGAATCAAGGAAGGTAAAAGAACTATAGGGTGATTAGATTTCATAGAACTATAGTCTGCACATTTCTGCACACGAGTGCATGCCAAATGGGTTAAATCCGAGCGAACTCGGTCTTAGAGCTAATTGCACCCTTTCTAGTTCATTGTATTGTGCTGTCAATTTCCTGCTTTTGATAATGTATCTTGTGTGAGACGTTGACGGAAGCTGGGTGGGTAATGGCCATACGGAACTTCTTTGTACTCATTTTGCAACTTCTTGTGAGTCTATAATTATTTCAAATTGAAAAGTAACAAACAAAATAAGAGAACTTCCTCAGCCCAGCCCCGTCCGCCCGAAGACTGCCCCAT